ATAGAGTGAGCAAAGATGAGATTGCTAGTTATGGTGCTTTAAAAGCAAGTGTAGCTTATATTTTTATATGCCGTCTTGTTAAGGATCATGATGAGGCTTTTAAGAGAACAATGAGCCGACATGAATGTCTCAAGTTAGGCGTTTGTGATGCGACTCAACTAAGATCTGTAAGGCGTTTAGAGGTTAAGGTATATACTCCGAATGGGTAGAGATTCTCCACCGCAGCATGCATTTGATATTGCATGTGTTTAGCCACCAAATAAGTGAGTGAAATAGGTTCTTGCTTCCTCATTGTGAAGTCGTAATGTGATCTCATTCGTAAGTCTTGAATGTCATAAATTGGTTCATTTGTACCCTACATGACTTCTGCTATGTTATGAAGTGGAGAGTTAATGATAGCTAATCTACTGTGTTATCTATGGTATGATTGATTCAACTAATGGGCCATTACTAGAGAAGCGGTTAACTCGTGACTATGTGGCATGAGATGAGGACAAAAGGAATATTAATCTGGAATTACACACATCACTTGCATAAATCAGCTAGCTAGTTGTGTTGCTTTCATGTGGATACATATGAAGTTTAGGAAGGGTGGAGCATGGATCTCGTGAGAGATTTAGATGCGCTTAATCTTGAATAACTAAATAATCTTGGGTACTAGGGATACACCATTGTTTAACTGCTTTTTCTTGTATTAGGATAGATGTCTCCATCCTAGCCCTAATAGGTTTCTAGTTTGGAGCTCCCATGTGAATGTGTATTCAATGGTCGCATGACTCATTTATATGTATGAACACGACTCAAAATTTGCCAATTACATTGATGGAGGTCAGTCATGCCTGTCAAGTGCGAGTGGAAGATGTTAATTATAAATAGTAGGAAGTTAAGTGCCCATGACGGGCAAGCATTTTCTCCAAACCATAGCAGTTGTTGCCATTCAACATGAAACTGCAACTCTGCAAGTGCAGCTTTTTTGATAGAGAATTTGCCATGATAGCAGTATACATATACCTTAAGTCTCCTAGTGAGATACTTAGAAAAATGAGAACAATCCTCTAGATAATGTGTGAGAGAAAATGATGGAAACATTGGTCAACTTGTGAGTTTGTGAGACACTTGAGTTGCGGATTATACCCTTGTTTTCTCTTAATAATCAAGAGTTGGGCAACAAACATAAAGGAATGCCTGAATCTAGCAGGCAACAAATAAAGAGATCCTGGATTGTGTTGAGCCAGTAACTTCTCTAAATTCCACCATTTTGATTCGATGATAGTTATCCAAACCATGTCACTTCCCAAGTTTGCCAAATCATCACAACCACACTATTTGTCACGCTTCCTCCTGCACTTTGCGAGGTGTCAAATAAGGATCTGCTCTCCTGAAACCCATTATCTTCTGAAGCTCTCACATCTCACGTTCGATGAAGACCTCTCTTCTGAAGCTCTCTCTTAGAGACACTGATCAGAACAAGAAGTTAATCGAATATGAACAGATAGTTAACGAACATCTGTATATATAACCGGAAAGAATTCAAATTAGGTTTAATATTAAGGAATTCAAATTAGATTTCGCATTAAAATCGAATTCACATATGAATTCCTTATTATGAACCAAATTCGAACTTTTCGAATAGGGTAGTATTCACTTCGATTCAATTCCACCCCTGACGTAAGCTTACAAACGATTCTAACAAGATGTTCAAGTCTAGCCCAAGGATGTGTTCCAACGCTATCATACTCCCTTTAAAAGTACGAGTTCGGGAAAATCTTTTCATGGTCAACATTACCCTCAACTTTTTAAATATTATATTGTTATTCTAATCTATTCTAATTATCTTATCTTCTTCGAATTAGTAATTAAATAATTTATCATATTCATAATAAGACTTAACATGTTAATGGATAAAGAAAATATGTTTGATATAATTCAATTTTTTTACTTATGTTAGTTCGCAGAGAAATCTAAAAAACATATGCTAGTCAGTACTTAAAATTTTTTAGACTTTGTAAAAAATATCCTCCATGTTTTTTAAATTGCAAAAAACACCCCTATAAATTTAAAATTTTATTAAAACATCTTGAAATTTATAAATTTTACTTATTTCAATTCAGTGAGAAATTGGAAAAACATATGCTAGCTAGAAACTAAAAGTTTTTTGACTTTTGAGAAAATATATTATAAGTTTTAAAAATTACAAAAACACCCTTAAAAATTCAAAATTTATAAATAACACCTTAAAAATTTTAAACCTATAAACACACTAAAAACCTACAAATAACACAAACAACCCCCAAAAATTTATGAAATTTACAATAAACACTGAACTTTTTACAAATTGCAAAATAAAACCCTCAGAATTGTAAAATTTACAAAAATCCTAATAATTTCTAACCTAATAGTACATTGAAAATATATGAATTACAAATATCCCCTACATAATTTATAATTTATAGAAAACACCCTTGAAGTTTCAAAAATTATAAACAAAACCTTAAAATTCAAAATTTACAAATAACACCATGAGAATTTCAAACTCATTAGTAAATTGAAAGCATGGGAATTATAAATAGTCTATAAACAATTTATAATCTGTATAAAAGGACTATAAGTTCAAAAAATTACAAAAAGCCCCTAAAATTCTTAATTTATTAAAAACATCATGAGAATTTAACCTATAGCACTAAACTTAACCTATTTTGTGGAAAGGTAACATTGCTAATAATACTACAAATAGCAAACTACAATATAAACTTAACCTATTTTGTGGAGCCCAACTATTGGCTATAAGCATTGAGGTTGCCATATATATACTTTATAATTTATTAAAAATGGTCATATAATCTTATATAATAACATTAATTTAATAATAAATAGTAATATCATTGTACTAATATCGTAATTAGGAAAAATTCTTCATGAACCAATATGTTCTTTACGACATATAGCTATGCACTCCAAATTATTGTGTCTTTTATAAAGTCAAAAAACTTGAATAAGAGCCTCTAACATGTTGCTCTCACAACAGCAAAATCCACTTAGCAAATAAAAATCTAATGCAAGTGAGTTATAATAGCATTTTTCATTCACATTGTTTAGGGTACAATTTGATAGACATTGCATCAAATAAAAAAATTATATTTAGAGCACATGGCGAAATATATCATAATCTCCCTACTCTAATTTCGTAAGAAAACAATTCTTCATACTTACAATTTTAACTTCTATGATACAAAGAATGATCTATAAAATTGAATGGGAATATTAGATAATGTAAATATGAGTGAAACCATAACTAAATATTAATGTGAATATGAGTCAAACCACAACTTAAAATTTAATGACATATTGCAAGTAAATTCATATAAAAAATTCCTTTATGAATTGAATGATCACTCATCTTTTGAAGACTTTAAAATACTAATAAACAAAGATGTTGTACTAGATTAATGTTTATAACTCACAAACAGTAGATCATGTGTCCAAAGTCTGCGTTGAAGGAATCAATGACAATATTTCAGTTGAGACAGAGTATATTAAGTTGCTGATCAATCTCACAACAAACTTTATTTTATTTTTATTTTTATTCTATTTTTATTAATTTAAATAATTGTGATATTTAACCGTGTGCATTGTACGTGCATCTCAACTAGCAACTCATAAAAGACTGTGTTTTTATAATTTCTTCGTTTTTTCATGCAATGACTTATATGGAGGCAGTTAACTGAAATAATCCAGTTAACTACCTGAACCCCTTCCAAATATTTAGGAATAACCAGAGGCATCTGGAATTATTACTACAATACACCTACAACTAGATAAACTAAAGTCACTGCAATAAACATTAAGATAGAAGAACAATACTAAAAGAATATGAAGGGTCTCAATGTCTTCGTATAAGACTTGCCACAAAATGATATCGTATCAATATCCTTTACCGCTTTTTGGTAAATTTTAGGCAATGTATCGCCAACATAGCTGATGTCTTTTTATATAACGTCTTTTTACATGACAAGTCGCAGAATGATATAATTTTAGAAACTTTCTATGTTTCTTAGCAAAAATTTCAACCGTGTGAACTTGTTAGCAAATTCTAGCCTATTTTCCCAAAGTCCCACAGTTGGTAATTCTAACCATATATTACTTGTATTCTTGTATGCTTAGATTTCATTAAGTATGTCTAGATTATATTTTAGGATATACTACATATCCCCGACATTTCCCCAATATCCGTAATCCAGTATGGATTTTGACCATCCCATATTTCCTCATTATCCGATATTTAAAACCTTGATAAAATGAAAAGAATTAAATGGAATATTTACATGTGTTCTGCAAATAACATAAGGCGTGTAGTTACAGATTCAGATTAAGTGCTACTAGAATGGGAAGCTAACATGTAAACTGTTTGCAGAAATATAATAAAGTACCATATTTTCTAGTTTGAAAAGAACATGGACCATGATAGAGATAAATGAAGAAAAAAGATCATGCAACAATCCAGCAGCTTGCGCATCCTAAAGAACTTTTCAAATGTCCTATCTAAATTTATCCAAAAACTTGTAAGGTTTTTCCATATCAGAAAAACCCTATCCCTCTGGTTGCCAAAAACTACTATAACCCTTCATTATGACTTAAATATGCCCGGTCCAAACAGGGGTGGGTTGGGGTGGGGGGGTAAGGGGAAAATAAATCATTTTAAATTTTATGTTACATCATACCAAGGGTCACCTCCAAGTGCTCTTCACTTAATATATACCATTAAACTGTGCAGCTTCAAATAATGTTATCAAGATAATACTTGACATACTCATACCATCATCAAAGCAAAATTTATAACGTAAGCTTCAAGATGCATAAAAACCTCAAGACGCAGGGTGTCATCACCCCACCAAAAGAGGTGTTTATCTTTCATTTATTTATGAATTATTGAACTATAAACATTAAAAAGCTTGAAATAAAAATCATCTGAGTGAAACAACAATATTAATAAAAAGCATTACCCCTGGAATCGGCAGTTTATGCACAGCTCGCTTGAGACGTTGAGTTTCCATCCAGGCCCTTTCCATTGCTTCAGACTCCTCTAAATCTTGTTCACATGCCCCAATCCCCTTATCTACCTCCTGATGCTCCATCTCAAACATCTGAGACATCCGTCTTTGGTGGATCTCCCTTTCTAGTGAATTCATCCGCTCTCGATTAGCCTGACGTGCACATGCTTTTGTGCTTCGAATCTGAATAGAGTATGCACTTGTAAACAAGGCATTGTCACACAAAAACGACAATCTCATTATGTGTACAAACTCATAATAAGTGACCATTACGAGAGAGAGGAAAAAAAACTATAAAGTAGGTACCATGTCATGTAGTTTCATTATGTGAGAATGGGGGAAAAAGTAAAGTAGGTAACCATGTCACGTAGTTTCAATATAGCTAGAGGCAAAAAACATACATTTGTACCTGACCAGACCCAAACCAACCTGCAGTTTGGGCAGATTTTAATTGAGTTAGATACAAACAGTTGAACCAGTCTGTAACTTGGTTAGGTATAAGTCTATGGACTAACAGTTTCCATAATAAGAACACAGAACCTAAACTGACATAAATCCAAATAGAACTCAAATTAATCCACTCTTTTGTCATCCTCATCCCAAGCTGAAAAGCAAACATGACCATATCCATCAGTTCGTCAAGTATGAATTATCATAGTTGTGGGATGTAGTTCTCACTGAAATGGGATAAGGGTGGTGATACATTGGCCATCACCTTAGATGAGCCTTCGCTGAAGATGAAGGTGGAAGATACTAATGTCCCAAGATATGTAGTGCAGAAGACGCTTTTAAAAAGTTATAATGGCCCCCAGTGCTACTAAGGTTTGGAGTTTCAAAGAGGTCCTGGGTTAGAGAACCTTCTCTAATACCATGTTAAAAGAATGAACTGTTTCCCATTTTGATTTCCTTAATATATGGATGGAACCCTAGATATACAAGAAGGTCAGGTTCTTTTTAGTAATATCTTCCAAATAAATTTCTATACAAGAAGATCAGGTTCTTTTTAGCAAAATATTCCAATTAAAATTTTTTAGTAGTGATATAATAAATCTAATCCTCTAATCAATCTTAAAATCAGGTCTCATAATATTGTTTAATATTTAAAACATAGTGGTAATGAATCCATACAAGCTATTACTCGTTACTCCTTATAGGTAGTTTTAAATGTCGGCCGACATGTCAGACATGTCGGATTTATGAGCCAACCAACACGATGTGAAGCTTTTCAATGCGTATTGCGTTTTCAGAGTTCATGTTGGATATATCGGGGGATATGTCGGTTATGTCGGCCGATTTTTCAGTCTGAAAAATTGGCTGGTTTTTTTATTTATTTTATTATGTTTGTCTAATCAGGTTTGAGTTTAAATTCTTGATTGTCTTAATATTACTTCCAAAGACAAAAACCGATAAGTTAAGGGAAATGGAAAAAAAGACCGAAGTAATATCCATTGCTCATCTTCTCTCTCTCCTTCGACATCTCATCGGTCTCTTCTCTGAGCTATTCCTTCGACATCAATATCGGGCGATCTTCTCTCTTCTTAACTGCTAATATCGGAATTCACACCTCTTTCCTTCAACATCAACCCTAAGCATCATAAGTTATTTACTCTTTTATATGTTTAGACAATAGAACTTTTTAAGTTTATTTAGATTTTCTTTATGATACTTGTATTACACATATGCACACCATCCGATATGTCAATCCAATATATTTTCATGTCCCCCGATATATCCCTGATTTCTGCTATCCGACATGAATTTTAGCCATCCGACAAGAACCCGATATCCGACATTTAAAACCTTGCTTATAGGTCAAAAACTTAGTATCAGTAGGAACTATGCGTGTGAGGTGAGTAACACCACCAACCCAACATCACATCAACCTATATTAGGAAAATACATTAAATGAACGCCCCTCACACTAGTAGCAATTAGGCACTTGCAATTTGAATGGGGATAAACTTTTAGAGAGGACTAACTATTATGGTGTTTGTCAGTTGGACCTAAACCTGGAACATTTGATGTTAGTCAATTGAAAAATCCAACAAGAACTTAAAAACCAAATGCCCTTATTTTTAACCTCATGGACTACAGGCTAGATCTAACTCTATATTAATATCCTCCTACTCACTTAGGGGATGGGGTGAAAAGATAGAATTGTAACCCTAGTCTCCCTCTTTTCATTCTCTATGTCATTCTCTCAAAATTTCCTCCTGCATGCCTCCCTCCTCTTGGATCTGCTCCAGCATCTCCACACTACCCTTTTATGCCTCAGCTTTATTATTATCTTAGTCATTAATAGCTCCATCATCCCCCCTTATCCATCAAAACTACCGTCCTGTTAACTCTGTTCATCCATTGCGACCACTACCTCTTCATCTCATAAGAATCATAAGGATGGTCCTCTTCAGTTCCATTCTCTCTTTTCAGTCAATAGTTAGCAGATGTATACAATCTCTCAAACTTTGAGTTCACAAAACTCGCTTTTTTATACCGAAATTGCATCATATTCAATAAGTATGAGAAGTTATTTTGATAGTCATATGACATAATGTTTATACTTTATAACACCATTTTCATATTTCATGATAATTATTTACTAGCATAAAACACCGTGTAATTGCTTTAAGAAACTAAATAACATTGGAGAAGCTTTTATATATAATAATATTTGTGAAAATTCAATTACATTAATTAGAAAATGTAAATCTTATAATTACTTGAGTGAAGAAAACAAATCAAGTGCATATTTAATAAAAATTAAATTCATTTACGATTTAAATTAGATAAAATTTTCTTGACTTTCTCGAGTTACACAATATAATATCCTTTCTACATACAACTAGATTTTATAGAACAATCCAAACTTGTTTAAACAATTGATTATAATTTAAAATGAACCTCTACAAAATTGAGTACATTTAATATATGCATATGCATATACAAATATGAAGATACATGTGTTCCATGATTTTTTTGAGATCGTGTTTCTCATGTTTGTGTCAAATATGTTAACCCATTTAAGTGTCCTGTGTTAATCTATATTTCAGGTATCATCCCTCTAGTTTCTCAAATCTTGTTAGCCATTGCCCACTAAACTTTTTGAACTCCCAACTCATCGAGTTCTACGCTTAGGATTAGTGACTTTCGATAACTTTGTGGGATCTCTCATACAAAGAGTTCATAGAGATATAAGGTATACTAGTTTATCACATTTATTTAAGTTATGTTCAATCAAAAAGATATTGGATGCATTTGTTGATTGTTATCTTGTTTTGATTCTTTATTTTTAATACATTATGAAGCGATAAAATTGGACCAAAAATGGGCAAACAAGGTGTCCAAATTAAATATAAAGCACAAACCAAGTACTTAGAAATGACGAAAACCGGGTGAAATTATCTTTATTCATTTCTTAGTGACACCAACAACAATATAATCCAGCTCTAGAACAAGTTTCCCAAGCAAATTAAATAACCAACATATCCAAATTTTTACTCCATTATCACACAACTGTTAATATACCCAAAAAAAATTATAAGCTAATAGTAAATGGCTACCTTCAAATTTTAAATATTTTTAACGGATTTTTTAGAATATTTTCAAAACTTTTAGACATTAGTTTTATGGCTCCACCTCAAGTTGCGTATATGTGAAAATTTCCATATGTACACCAACATTCACGCACAATATTCCCATCTCTGCAATATACATAAACCAATAAAGAGATATATGTATGAACATATGGGAAGGTTTCAAATTAGTAGATGCAAATGAATCGATGAACACAATGGTTTCTCTAAGGAAACTCCTAACAAAACAATTCAGTTTTATTATTTAAGGTATTAACATGCGTGATGTTAAAAAAAATTTGAAACGTCCTCATGAGAACAGTGATTATGCAGATAACATAAAAAATTAAATCAACCACAATCTCTTACTACAGTGAATTCACAGATATCATGGACTTGAAAGGATGTATTTCGGTACTTTGCCAGTTCTTTGCTTGCATATGCATTCCAAGTTCTTCAAGGAAACAATTTCCCAAGTTGAACATTTTCTTTGCCATAAGAACTTGATTAATATTTATAAAAAAAAAGGTTTTCCCTGGTATAACTCATCCAAGAACAACATGAAGCAAACCTTGCTCCTAGGCATTGTTTTAAATATCGGCCGATAATCGATATTATCGGCCGAGTTATCGGATTTTTGAGCTCCCCGCTAGGATAAGTTGGTTTTGTAATCGGTTATCATTTTGGAGAGATTATCGGCGAGTTATCGGCACTTATCGGCCAATAAGTAAGGCTAAATTATCGGGATTATCGGTCAGGCATTTTGAGTTGAGTTGTTGACTTTTTAAAACCCGACCCGACCCATTTTGTTAATAATATGAAACTTAAAACCCGAAACTATGTGAATCCGACCTTCAAACCCTAACTTCGTCTCTGGTGGCTGCTCCTTTTCTCGTAGGGCGCTTCCTCCGTTATCTCCATCTTATGTTCTCTGCGCCTCTTCGTCACTCACCTTCGTGAACTTCAACCTCGAACTTCGTCGCTTGCCTACCCTCTGTCAACCATGTTTTTTTTGTCCGGAAACATGGCTATATACACATGCTGTGAGCTTTCCTTCTCTTGTAATTCCTTCACGCACGCATTTTCTCTTTTGAGTAATATCAGTTCTATAACTATTCTTTTATCATACTTTGCTTTTCTGTTTTTCTTGTAACAGAGACTTATATTATAAATTAGTAAATAAACTGTACATATTTTGCTTTTCTGTTTTGGTATGTTTATATTTTATTAAGCATGGTTAGATTACATTTTTTAGTTGTTATATTATATATATACACCATCCAGTATATTGCTCCGATAAATACTACTTATCCCCGATTTTCGCTATCCGATAAGGATTTTGGTCATCCGATAAATCCCCGATAACCGATATTTAAAACCTTGCTCCTAGGGCAATGTTAAAGCATGTGAACATTACAAGCTAGTAAAGTTTACCATATAGGAAGCACTTGCCATATATATAAGAATGTCATTATCTCTATCTTCTACAAAAAGAATATCATGACAAGATAGTTTCCAAACACATCCTAAAGTTCTTTGTGTGGATATATAGGTAAAACTGTCAAGACATATATATACCCGTGCGAGGGGAGAGAAGCAATAATAAGTTCA